TTTCAAGAAACCATGATCGGATCTTGTCTAGCAGTCACACTCTTGAAGAGAGTCTATTTTGTGTTAATCTTGACCTCGATCACCGCCTCTTTTCTTTGCTTCGTCTCTCTTCTCTATTATTTGTGCTCCCTAACACAGACGACGACGACGATGAAATGGGGACCACCCAAAATACGTATGCCCATGTATTGGAGTATGGGCTTCTATGAATATTTTAATCGCAGAAAAAATAAGCTAATTTTGGAAAAAATACAAACTTTACACACTAATCAAGAACAAGGTCGGCTTCTCCGGTAACATTTTCCTCGCCAAAACAGAACGGTGGCCAAAAAAAAAAGAACTCTTTTTTATACTCTGTTTTTGGGAATTTAATCTATTGAAAAGTGATAGTTTTCACCGACGTAACTATCACTGCGCATGAAAAAAAAAAGATAAAGTGGAAGAAGAACAAATTGAGGGTGATTTCAATCTGATCGAAAGAGAATCGTCCAAAAGATAAAGATGAACAAAAAAAATTATTAATAAAAAAAAGACAAGAGAGAGGAGAGAGAAAGATTGGGTAGTGTTTTAATGAAGGCAATAACCGGAAGTGGAAAGTAGTGTTCGAGGAAGACGACAAGGATAGTCTTATGGGCTTCACGTTTTTCTCAGCTTTTTGCGTTTTGTATTTTGCCTACTCTCGGGTTATTATTTAAAGTAGGGACTTTCCTTATTTGTTTTTGTTTTATCGACTTGATTAAAGGAGGGAAATTGAAAAAAATACTATAAATAATTTTATCCAAAATCCTTGCATTATTCAAATGTTTAAACCATTTGCATGATTGTTATTGAAAGTAGAAAAAAAAAAAAACTCATTTAATTTCTTTCTCAATGTCATATAACTATGTATGAGTTCTTCCAATAAGAAAAAATGAAACAAAATTACTCTTAAGAATATCAAAATTTCTCAATATCTTTCAAGATTGAATCAATATCAGGAGTCAAAACCGCATGCTTGTACACATCTCCAACCAGATAACAATTATTCTCGTCTGTATCAACCAACATCACATCTTGTGCAAACTCACTCTTCAGCCCTGGGTTAACCTACACTCGGAACCGAAAAATCCGAATTAGACTTTGTTTCGATTATAATGGTTTTAGTTTCTCTATATCCAGAAAACTGAAACGGGTGTCCAAGCCTAACAAAAATCAAATATAAATATCAAACTGAACCTTAAATCTTCCAAAAATAGATATGTTTCACTAAAACCGATCCTTGCTACATTTCTAAAACCGAAAACCCGTAAAACCCAAAAAGATTAACCTAAACATGGACTGAACACCCCCTTCTACGTATTGGCCTAGTGTTTAGGTCGGTGAAAACCTTTCTGCGGGATCTATGGTAATTGAATGCTAATATAAAAGGAAATAAAAAACCGAGTATGAGAAATCGCTCACATCATAAAGCACTTCACCGAGTTTCATCTTGACAGCACCATTTTTATAGACTAGAAGTTTTCCCATGAAACCTTCTGGCAAGGCTTTTAAATCACAAGTCTTCTCAAAGCCCCCTTTGATATTCGGATTTTTTCCACGGTTTTCTGTTATCGTTGATTGCCTTGTCAAAGGAACAGAAGGCAACCTCAGAAAAAGCATTTTCTGTTCTCCACTATCTTCCTGCCAACAAAAGTAATCCACAATATGTAACTATGGAGTTACTAAAGTTTGCATGTGACTCTTGATTCTCGGATATTTTATTTGTAATGTCACTAACCGTTAAACCAAGATCAGCTGCTGTGTTGAGTGAATCTTCATGATTTTTCGCATCCTGCATAAATTCCTCCACGTCAAGAAGCTCTGCAATAATATGAGCATCATATCAAACATAAGGAAACGGTATTCAAGAACCTGTTTTCACAAAAATGATGTTTCCTTTTCCTTCTCAGGAAAAAAAAAATATACCTGGATCGCCTGCGTACGGTCTCCTCTGTGGAAGTGTGATTGGGTAATAACTGTAATAATCCTGTGAGAGAATCCAAGAACTAATTATACATATAACTTCATCAATTATAAGAGTTTGAGATCATATAACTTTCAGTACGAATTACTGCTATACCGACCCATGGTTCTTTATACTCTATCTCCTGTGTAGCGTTTGAGGCATAAGCACCAGCTGCAATAATAAGATTAGCATGTATCAACAAACCCATGTGGATTTATAAACCTTTTAACAACTTGTGATGGGTTTCGATTACAACTACAGATGTTGTTTTAAGAAATCAAAACGATGAAATCGTTACCATTTGTTCCATTGAGATACTTAATTGATCTTGTTGAATTGACCACTCCTCCCATCCAGGCAACTTGAGAACTAGGAACTGTAAGACCCATGCCAAGAACTCAATCACTTGATGTTTTTTCACAATTAAGTAATGTTAGATAAGATTAGAGTCAAGTTTGAAGTTAAAAGATACTACCTTTCTTCTCTCCTTTTGGCTTGCGCAATGATCTTTCCTAGAGGCAAACAAAAATCAAAATCCAAGGAAAACTGAGAAAATGAAAAAGAAACAAAGAGTAAACGCAATGATAAAAAAAACAAAGCTTACAGTTACTCTGCGTAGCAACTCCGTGGCTTGTGCACTACTATTATCAACCTCAACAACTTCACTGCAGAAAATTCCAAGTTTTCAGAAACCAAATTGACCAAAGAACACGTTTTGCTTATGTTAATCAAATCAGTATTTAACTTACGGTTTAACTTCCGGTTTGGGCACGCGTTTCGGTGGAGCTTTTGGAGCAAATTTCATCTGCAGGAAGAAAAACTCAGAAACCCCCAAAACTTATTCTAAGCATACGCAGTGGAAAAAGATGATATCTACACACAAACCTTTCGTGCTGGTGGTTTTTGCTCCATTTAGAGAAATTGAATTGAGACTCGAAGATGGTTGATCGGCGATCGTTGAGTTCACCAAGCTTTGATTGATCAGGTTCAGATCACTCACTCTTTCTCCCACCTCAGAAATCACTTGCAGTTGAAACACCAGCGAAAGAAAAACCTAATCGTTGCCCTAACCTCGTTAAGTTCGGTTTGTCAAGTTCGGTTTACATTAGCTTACTTCTGGTTTACACATTGAATTCATGTTATTTTCGGTTAGATTTGGTTTTGAATACTCCGTTAAATTTGTCTTGGGTTTGGTTATCGTTGACTCATAAGTCATAACATTCAGTATTT